TCGAACTTTCTTTTTTTTCTTAAAAAAAAAAATGTCCTACTAAATCAAGTTTATTGAAACAAAAGAAGCTTATAATTAAGCTAACTAAATAAGTTATAAACTAACTTATAATACTTATTAAATACATTCTTAGTCTGTAAATCCATATGACACAAGATTTGTTCTTAGTTTCTCATTATTCAGCATGAGATGAATAAAGATATACAAATAACTTCTTCAATTCTTGATCCGTTTTATATGCTACACTATTTAGTCTGTAATTTTTTCTACTCAGGATTAATTTAGAGTTTCAAATAAACTTCATGGTACCAACATGGTTGAGCAGCAGGATTTGTCAAGATTTCACGTGATCATGGGATAAAGCTGTAGACTTATTATTATCACCAATTGTCTTCTCACAACTTGTGAGTTAGTGGAGGCCCTGGAGTATGCATGATTAAGGCAAAATCATAAAATGCCTAATTAAAAATATACATTACTAATAAAAATCAAAAAATATGTAAAAAAAGAATATAATAATGAAAAATACCACAATGGCAGAACAATGCTTGCTAACTCCTCAAGAGAATATTTACGGTTTAATTAATTAATTTCAATTTTTTTAGCAATCGTAAAAAATTGCTGAGTGAATTTATCGTTTGTCCAAATTTAATTAGTGGGTATATTTTGCAATTATTATCTATGACTAGTTAACCTAATTTAAGCAAACCATGTTCCATGTAATTAAAATCATTAAGTTAAAGTGTTCTTATGATACTACAAAACATTGTCTCTGTCTTACTAATTGTCTAATTGCTTTTATAATTAAGATTTAATTAAGTGGTCTGTTAAAGAACACGACATGTTTTGCTTAAATGTTTAATCGGTCGCTTAATTTTCTTCAGTTTTATGGTATTCTATGAATTAGTAGTCTCCATCAAACTAGTTACTTTCATTATCTAACTTTAATTAATGCACATGTTGGACTTGTAAATAAAATGTTTAGTTAATAATTGGAATTATTATTGTTTGAATTTTATATTTGTTTTTACATTAATTCTTTCTTATGTTTTTGCAAAGCCATATTAGCCAAATTTCAAATGGAATGATCTAATGACTAATAATTGATTGAAAATATACCACTATTGTAAATAAGTAGTTAGAGGAACCAATGTTAATTGCAAAACAGAGTTAGGAAATACTAATTAAGCTCATTTATTAAACTGAGTCAGGGTAACTTGTTTGCCATCAATTCAATTTTTTATATAAGCTTTAAATGTAAATAGTCGAGCCGAAAACAATTCAATCTTTTATATAAGCTTTAAATGTAAATATTCGAGCCGAACTCATATGCGTACAACTCATTTAAGGTTTTACATTTATTAAATAAACCAAGCCGAGGCAACTCATTTAATAACCAAACACAAACTCGAAATGAGCTACGCAACTCGGTTCGACTTGAATAACGCTCCTAGCCAAATTATAGAAAATTTCAAATTTTAATATTTTATTAAAAAAAAAAAAAAAAAAAAAAAAAANCTATAGCACATTGCTAATATTGCCTGCATCTACATATCATCCATGTTATTTTACATGAGAAAAAAATTGATATATTTGCTTAAACTTATTGCTGCATTTAGTATTTTAATAAAATATATATTTATTGGAATATTGTCCTTACATGATGCTAGAGCAATCAAAATTCTTGAAGTTCATGAATTCTACTTTTTTAACATTTTCAAGTATATATCAGTTAGTGATTATTTTCCCTTAATATATGAGTTAATTTCAAACTAACTGGTCGTTTCAGTTATGAATAAACAATAACAACATGTACGCAAGTATACCGAGGGAAAAAAATTTAAATAAATATAAAGAGAATAAAAAAGTGTTTAGACATAGGAGTGGGCATGGAATAAGAAGAATCTATATAGGCTGCAATATCTAACGAATGTTCCAAAGTCTAAAACACAATCAGGATTCACCTCCCCTGATGGTTAGTTATTATAATATATATATATATTATACATATTAAATATATTTTTAGATATAAATTATACACACACTTTTATTTAGTGGGTGAAACATATTTACAGGTTCACGAGGTTCGATTAATTCCCCATCTACAAATGGAGTATTTTTAATCTTGTTGTGACCAACAAGGCAACAACTTCT